TCAGGGTCGCCGCAGCGCTGGCTCCGCGACGGGCAGGACGGCGGGACGCTCCGGTCACCTGCGTCCCCCCGCGGTGGCGGGGGCAGCGAGTCGCACAAAGACGGGCCAAAGCGCCCTGCGCGACAGTCACGGGCGGGCCGGACGGGACCGGGCCCCGACGAGCCGGACCAGGCACTTGTGCTGGCGGGGACGGCGATCGCATCGCCTGCCGCGGCTGCGGAGCAGATGGGCGCATCCCTCGGCACTGCTGGATGAGGCGCTCGGGGTCGGGTTTCTGTAGCCGTCTCCGTGACGGAGGCTGTGCGGGGAGGGGAGGAGCGGGGGCCCTGCGGACGAGCACGGGGTGCTGATCGGTGCCAGGCGGCCCCCCAAACCCTCGCCGGCGGGGCTCGGACGTGCACGGTGCGGCCAGCCCGAACAGGAGTCCTCCCTTCTCCAGGCGCGTGTTCGTGGGACCCTCGTGGAGGTGGAGGACACCCTGGCGGTCACGGTCCGGTCCCCAGGATGGCGGCGCGGGACTTTCCTGGTGTGGCCAACTACGCTTGAAACCAGCGCCTGGGAAAACAGCTTGAAACCGTGTCGGATGCTGATTCCCGAAGTCACGACTCGCGAGGCAGGGGTGCCGTCGGGGCGGTGTAGGGGTGCCAACCGCGTACGAAGCCCAGCTCGGCCAGGCCCATTGCTGAGAGGGGTAGTGAGGTGTCTCTCGCGGCGCTGGCCCCGGCACTGCCCTTGTCTTTCGTGTTAGCCTGCGGCTGGTGGGTGTCAGATACGACCCGTATCAGTCGCTGTCAGCGTGTTCGTACCCGTAGAAGTGCATCCACATTTCTTTTCCCCTGAACGGGCAGTGGCTGGTTCAGCATCTTGGATGTTTTAATATTGCTTAGCTGGAACCAATGTTTGATTGCAGTCAGGACATGTTTGATTGCAGTCACTTAGCATGAGACGTTGAGAAGGTGAATACCTCCTTTCTCCCAGGTGATATCCTCAGCGGGGCCACGCAGCATGCTAGGCGTGCACCTTCTGTCACAAACTGCTAGCAGCCCTCCCCGTGCTGTTGTGCTCAGGTCTTTCCCTTACAGAGCCTGTCTCTAGGGAAGAAATGGGAAATTCCATTTTACGGTCTACCCAACCTGTGCCCTATCTGCTGCGGCTGTCAGTAAGGCTGCTAATTGTTCCGGGGTGTTTTGGTATTTTTTCCGTCAGGTTATTGTGCATCAACTTGCTCCATATAGGTTGTCAAATGGCCCTTGGATAGTGAAGAGGTCTGGTCACTTGATCATGCTGATTTCCTAGAGGTGACATTCTCTGCCTCCTGTTGCCCATCTTCTGAACCCTCCATTTTTCCAGTTATTTCCATTTCCCATCTAATTTAAGTATCCTGTTGGTATAGTGTGTCTAAGGAAAACCGTTATATTGATTTAAACATCTTTCACAGCTACGTCTGCCGAAGTCCTTTCAAGCGGTGTTCTGTGCTGCCTCCTGCTGGTAACACTAATAAAGCTAAATTATAAGCAAGCGAGTTTTCAGATACTTTGTTAATTAAGAAGCTTGGGGCAGGCCTGTGGGAGTAGTCTGGGTAAATAGAGCCAGTTGGTCCACAGGCTGTAATAACCTAACCTCTGTTGTCTTTTTGGTGTTGATGCCCTCCTGCGCTTCCTTAGTAGGAGGAAAAATCAGTCTGCTCAGAGTCTCGCTAGCTGTCATAATCTGAGGGGGTATTTTATGCGGGGGCTGGTTGTACGAGCCTAATAAACAAAACTGCTGCCTCATAATGGTGCTGTCTTCTACGAGTTCTCTAGAATGACATTTGTGATCGCAACCAAGATAAGTTTGCTTGAAACAACAGTGTTAGTTTCAGTGGCGCACCCTGGATCATGTGCCTCGCTGAGGAGAATCCTGACTTGTGTCACTGCTTTCTTGCATTTGTGTAGCACTTGCTCCTGAAAGGATGAATGCTGAGCTAGACGGTTCGAGCCTCAAACTGTTTTTCTCCTCCAGGTCATGTAGAAGAGCAGATTTAATGTGAAGATGGGACTGCTGGTGTTTATGCGTAACCTGCTGCTAGCCCTCTGTCTCTTTCTGGTGCTGGGATTTCTTTATTACTCTGCTTGGAAGCTGCATCTTCTCAGATGGGAGGACTCAAGTGAGTATAATTATAGTAACCCTCTCTACTCTCTATCAAACAGTTGCCTGGTGAGCTCATTTTAATTATTTATTTGCATCAAGTCTATTAGTATTAGGAGACAGGAATAAGTCGAGTCAGTTGCTGGAGTTTTCAGTGTCCTGTAGGGGCTGAATTTTAGAGTATTTGGTATGCTGCATGGCTCTGTGTTGACCAGGTGGTATAAGAGAAGAGCTGACACATTCTAAATATACCATTATCAGCTTTCAGTTCTTTGGTTTATTTCTAGATACGAGATCCTCGCTTTTATTCTGTTCAAGCTAAGTGAAGTTCTGGGGTCAAGATTTTTCTACCTGTGTTTCTGAATAATTTGGCAGCTTTTGATTTTTGTCAAAAAGCTGAGGTAAGGGGCTTTCTCTTTCAGTGCTTTTGATTTCTGTCACTAGGCTCTCTTTTCTTTCTTTAGATTCCTGCATTGTTTATTCAATCCCTCTTATGCTTCCCAGTTATCTTAATTTTTCCTTTCTTTGCCACCTTTGCTACTAACTAGCTCTTCATCATCTAAAAGGACCATTTCCTCCATCCATCTGAAACAAGCTGCTGTCCTTATTTTAAATTATGAAAACAGTTGTCCACATACATACTTCCTATTTTAATATTCCTTGGCATATCACTTGCAGTTGCTCCTACATCACAATTTTTCATATTTCTTTTCTTCCACATCTCTAGGCTCCTCATGTATTATTGTGGTCGTGCACCATTAGAAATATTGTATGATGACAGAGTCAGTGAGCAACAGGTGTCCTCTTCCATGTTTCAGCATCATTCAAACAAGTCATGCCTGTGAGTTTGCTTTGAACTTGTCCAGTGTTTGAGCAGGTGCCAGAAGAGATTTTTAGGTCGTAACACCCTCTTGGGTAGGGAGTCTGTCTCCATATGTGTGTGTTCAATCCCCACAGGAGAGTGGGGATGTGAATCTCCATTAGAGCCTTGAGTGCTGCTTTTGCTGTGACTAGTAACCTGTGGGAAAGCTTTTTGTGTGAAAGAAACAAGTACAAGTTACTTTAAAATAAAAAGAGCTGTCACACGAGGCTGTGGCACAATGCATCAAGCAAATCCTTGACACCCTCTATTCTGTAGTACCAGGTAGTGCACTGAGGTTTTTCCCAAGTCTGTAGAAAGGCTTGGTTCATGCCTGAACCTGTCACCATCTGAACTTCTTAGGTGCTGTTTGCTTACACTAGGGGTCTTTGTTTGATGTTTCATGACAGGGGCTTGGCATGAATCTGAATTTTAGTGACTTCATTTTTCATTGTTCTGTTTTGCCTGTTTTTTCACTCTTTGTTTACTCTTCTGAGTAATATACTTAACTGTCTGCAATTTAATTATATAAATAGAAAAATGCTTAATAGCCTCTTTTGTAACTGAAAAAGTTGGTATACATCGTATCACTGATATGTTGTTTCAGCTCTGACCGCAAGATACTATGGGTTGTTGGTGGTTGCCTCACAGGATGGTTTCTATTGTGTTTATAATATCTGGGACCAGCTATCCAGGTTCAGAGGGATGGATTCAGGGTGAAGTAGCAAAAGGCAGGGACATTAACAAGTGACACTGGTAACTAGCATGAGAGCTCTTGCATATCTCTTGGTTTTAATGCAGTATCTTAATTTGCACCTGGAAGTTAGTTGACAGCATTTAAGTTTCTTGTACTAATACCTGGTAAAGAAGCTGGTTTAAATTGCAACTTGCTGACCTGATGAACTGCCCCTCTTCACCTCTCCTCTAGCAGTACAAAAAATACTAAGAACTCTGCAGACCCTTACCTGCTTGAAAGAAGCTATCAATCATGCACTAGCATAAACAGGGAAGTGTTCACTCTTGTATGTGCTTGTTACATTGTACATTCTTGGAGCAACAAGCAGGCACCAACTTCCTATTTGATTTCCCAAGTTTTGTAAATATTGGGACAACATCTTATTTGTTTTGTTACATTCAAAGACTAAGTGTGAAGCCTGGTTTTTGCACTCTGAAGTTGTGTAACATAGGAAAGAAATCTCAGTCAAGCATGGACAAGTTTGGAAACTCCAAAATTTAAGGTTTTCCATTTGAACCTTACTTTCCGTCTTTTGTTTGTATGCATTGTGATATGGTCTTGTAAAAGCAGCACGCAACTGCATATTTAAAGAGCCCTGCCTCATTCAGGTTGTAAATTGAATGATGCTTGGGGGATTCATTGGCTGTTTCTTAAGAAACTAACTTAAGAAATTGCTTCTCAGCCTTTTGGCCAAGATCAAGTGTATATCTTTTTGGTTTTTTTCTTTTTTTTATTCAGTGTATAGCCTCTGCCTTGTCATGTAATTGGATGATTATAATGGGTATGTGTAAACGGGTAGAATTAAGGTTGGTGGTGTTTATTACTGAGTGCGTAACCTAACATCTCTAAATATATTGTCTTTGTATTCAGGTTTATTTACTTTCTCCGTATTTTGTGGTTAGTGTCCTTGTCCTGTATATGAATGTGACACTAACTTTAGTGGTTGGATTCCTTTTTTGCCACTCTCCTCCATTCTCTGTGTTGGTAGCAACATGGCATTAACTAACCCTGATCTCTGCTGTACTTGTCCCTTTAGAGACTGTGATCTTAGTAAAGAGGAATCTTCAGCTTAGAATTCAGAAGTGGTGTTAGAGGATCATGAAAGGCATGTGCCCTGAACTTGGCCTGGTTCACGAATTTTTGTGTGCATTTGACCTTTTGGGTGGATTAGAGCATACGTGTACTTGACTTATGACTGGGTCAGAATGGTGATTCTACGAGGAATCTAGCTAATTTGAAGCTTGGATCTTTTGGTCCTTAAGCAGCTCCTATACCACGTGAGAATTTGCTGCTAAAAATATGGATCTTAGGTTGTGTAGTGCTGCCTCAGACTGCTCAAGGCTAAGTACTTGTATGTTCTGTTTGCTTCTTGATATCCGTGATGGACTGCCAGCCTCTGGAGATCGGCAAGGAGCACAGCTCTTGTTATTGCAAGGTGTCCTAGGACCAGTATGGCTAGATATACCTACTGAGGGGTGGTGTAAGTGCTGAAGTGGAGTGGTATGGCTCCCATGTAGACAGCAGGTACTGACTTAACTCATTACTTTCTGATGTTTGTTTCCTGGTTTAATTTGAGCTAGCCTCCATCTCTTGAAGAGCAGGCAACTTAACTCTGAATTCATCATTGCTTTGGGTAGTGAATTTTCCTGACTGTTTTTAAAGAATGGTAGTAGTAATAGGAATCTGACTGGAGGGGGTAGGAGGTGACTTCTTGAGTATGTTTTGCAAGCAGTCAGTTACCTCTTTCCTCCTCCTCAAGGATTTTCCAGTTCTAGTGGGCATGGAAGCAGAAAGAGGGAAGAAGTTATTGGCTCTGGGAGAAGCACGTGTATTGGCTGGAGATGGTAGGTGGGAAAGGTGTCCTAGATTTTCTGCTTCATTTCAAGGTGCAGAGTGGGATATGCACTATGTGCATGTATCTCCAGCTCAAAGGCTTGTAGAAAGGAAGCGGCTTATTCATGTCTGGGTTGACCAGAATCTGGAATAGACTTTCCAAGGAGGTGGTGCAGTCCCCAACCTTGGAAGTCTTCAAGAGGAGACTGGACAGACACCTTGCTAGGATCACTTGATCACAGCAGTATTCCTGCCCAGAGCAGAGAGGTTGGAGTTGATTTTTTAAGGTCCCTTCTAGCCCTTCATTTCTGTGATTCCTGATGAGTGGGACTGCCTATTAGAGATTAATATATCCTAAGGGAAAAAAAATATATAGATAGATGAGCCTTCTTCCTATACCCCATCGTGTCTAGTTGAAGTGATTCTGGACTCTGGAATAGACAGGTCTCACGGTCATGTTTAGGTCCCTGCACCACAGTTGGAACAGCTTTAGAAATTCATAAGATATATACCTTGCATCTACATAAGGGGAAACACATCTGCATGCAAAGCTAATGCTTTGTTTAAGGGCTAGCTTTGGGACTGACCATTCCTTTCCAGTAGATATTGGTGCTTAAGTCTGTGGTAGCACCAGCAGGTGAATTGGAGATTTGTGTTAAGTGTTTGTTTGTAGAGATGCACCGATACATCATCCCATACTGGATCAGCACTGATATAAGGAAAATTTACTGCATCGGCAGTCAGCTTTTTTGGGCTGATGTGGCCAATAATGTTGCTGATTAAATGCCCTTTGCATGCGTGCAGTCATAGCGCAGCACACAGGCAGCCAGGAGTACAGCCTGGCAACCTGGAAAGCAGCCGGGTCTGGCTGGTAAGTCTGTTGCAAGGGAAGGGGCATTTGGGTGGGGGGTGTAGATTGAGACCCCAGTAGTGAGGGAGGGAATAGGGCTGGGGTAGGTGCTGCATAGCTGAGGTGGGGTGCGGGACACAGGGGGGTGTGGGGCGGGGTGGTGGCTCCTGCCACTGCACGCACCCCGGAAGGGCATGGGGGGTGTGTGCCTTTGGATCTGCGTGTAGGGCGAGGGTGGGCTGCTGCTGTGGGCCTGGGCTGGGGATCTTCCCAGTTGGGGGAGGGTCAGGGCTGCACTCGGGACGGGTGGTGGCAGTGCTGCTATGGGGCACCTATGGCTAATTTTGGGGTGACTGCAGCCTCCCATAGCCACCCTCCCAGTGTTTCCGCTGCCTCCCCTGAGTGCAGCCTGGCCCAATCCCCACCCCCGCTGGGAAGAGCATGGAGCCCGCCCCAGCTCCAGCCCACAGTGGCATCCCACCCTCACCCCATGCACAGATATGGGGGTACCCCCCCCATGCTTTTCCAGGGTGCATGCAGCAGCAAGAGCCATGCTCACCTTCCCCCCACACGGCACCTCCTGAATGAGCCATTTGCAGCTCCATCCTGCACTCTGCCGCGGCCCCTGCCCCACTCCCTCCCTCATCACAGGGGCATCGATCTGCCCTTCCCCCACAATGCCTCTTGCCTTCCCCCACAGCAGACTTACCAGCCAGACACTGGTCTCCAAGCTGCCCGGCT